TTTTTTTTTTTGTTTTGGCACAGAGCCTTCCCTTTGTTATGGGCTACATGAATGAAAGGAAAGAGCCTTTTTATAAGGTACTTTTCTCTGGTGAAGTCTCAGGAAGGATTACTCTGTGGCACATCCCTGATGTTCCCATATCCAAGTTTGATGGTTCTCCTAGGGGTAAGACAGTTTCCTTTTCTTTCCTCACATGTTTTCTGAGTACTGATTTGTAATTAATTCAGTGTTTTTTGTTTTTTTTTGTTGTTGTTGTTTCTGAGCTGAATAACCTGAAGCTACATATTAAAAAATTCTCATGAACCACTATGTACTCAGTGCAACATTAAAGCAGGCATAAACATAAAGCTTATAGATTTAAACAATTCAACTAATATAATTCAAATTAATACCAATTGAATATAACAAGGAAAGAATTTTGGCAACATGAATATAGATTAAGCTGTTATTTACAGTTTTTGAAAGTATAATGTCTTGATAACATTTTACCTGTCCACTATGAGTTGATAAACCACGTTTTCTAATTTTGTATGTTTTACTTTTAGAAATACCAATAACTACCACCTGGGCCCTTCAAGATAATTTCGATAAGCATCAAACTGTGTCTCAAAGTATTATTGACCATTTCTCTGGGCTTGAAGATGAGGCAGGAACTGCAGTAGTCACTTCATCAGAGTACGTTCCAAGTCTTGATAAACTAATATGTGGCTGTGAAGATGGGACAATTTTCATTACACAGGCTTTGAATGCTGCCAAAGCAGGACTTCTAGAAGGGGGTTCTTTATTAAAAGGTGACTCAATTTTATTTAACCCTCTTAATTTTATTTATCTAAGTTTCACTTTCAATAAGCTATAGTAGAGAAGATACAGAAGTCTTTTGCTGATAAATTTGTACATATTTTAGTATTAAAATAAAACATACATGCAGGTTTTTTTAAAAAAATACTCAAACAGGAAGTTTTACAGTGAGAAATAAGTTTCTCTTTTACCAAAGACAACTATAAATAATAGTTTCTTTGTGCCTTTAATGAATTTTTTTATGTACCAGCATAACAGTATACATTTTTTAAATTATATTACACAAATAGAAGCTTATTGTAATACATTTTTCTAAGATATCCTTAAATAAATATGAATAAAATATTTCGGTGTTTATTCTTTATAAACTATTTATAATTATTAACAATGAATTTTAATTGAAAATTGATATTTATGTTTTCTAGTCTTTAGCTACTATGGATAATACAAAATTGATTATTCTTGAACATATATTGGCTATTTCTGCAGTATTAGTCCACAGCAGTAGAATTACTAGATCATCATTAGTTTGTATATTTAATATTTTGGAAATATACCTAAAAGTTTTTGTAAAGAAATTATATCAGTATACATGAATGTCCAGTAACAGTCTGTGAAAATGCCTTTCTCCTAAACCTTTGTCAACTTTGCTGTTGGACTTTTTAATCTTTGAAAATTAGGGAAAGAAAAAAATGGTATCTTTTTGTTTTAGTTTTTATTTCTTTGTTAATGAACTATATTCATTCTTATACATCTTTGTGCATTACCTCAACAAATGCCTATTTAATAAATACCATTATGCAGCAAGTTGTCAGATCAAGAAAGGAAATATAGGAGGTGATTTTAGGATGTGGAGTAAAAATCATATACCATTTTATTTATTTTTTTAAAAGATATATATATATATATATATATATATATATATATATATATATATAGAGAGAGAGAGAGA